GGCTACTGTATTGGTGCCGGTGCGTTGAGACCACCTCTAGTGTCGGATTTTGGAAAATGGATTTTGAGTTTTCTCATGGCAGGGACTTTTCTTCCTCTTGACACTATCGGTTATTTACAAAAAACACCTACATATACTTGTTATTGTGCTTCTGTCTTTCTGTGTCTTTGCATCTGCTCCGTGAACTCCTATTAAACATCCATGGTAAACTCCCTCAACGCGCCGCTCGCTCTCTTCTCTTGATCGCCCTCTCACGGAGAACACTTCACTGTCCCGCTTCATTGTAGGATTTCTGCCATGTCTCTACTTTAATTTGACCATCTCTGTTATTAAGTTATGGAATCCTAAATAAATAAGTCCATTAGATACCTTACCGTTACTGCGCTCATAAAGAATGATAAGAATAAGAATAATGCCTGTTGAACTGGTTTAATTAATTAGTGAGTTTATTTAAGGTAATTATAGAAGCCCTATTTTATCAGTATGTCTGCACAGCAGTTAGGTCAAACTACATTGAATTGTCCCCATTCTTTAGTAGTTTCTAACATTAGATATTTTGATGAGATATGGACCGCAAAACAAAACATTTCTCTGGTTTTCATTTTGAAAATCAAGTCACCGAATGCAAGTAGTTGCCTTAGCTGTGAATTAGTTCAAATTAGTTAATGTAATAATCGTTTTGATCTTATATTTTTTTCGGGGGGGGGGCCTTTTTCCAGTTTAGAGCAATAGCCCCTCCAAATGTCTGTGCACGTCCCTGGGTACAGGTAACTACCTCTCTAAAGTTACCCTAAAGCAGTGGTTCTCAAAGTGGGGGGCGCAGAGGCATGCCAGGGGGGGCGCGAGAGACCATGGAGGAAAAATGGTTATAAAAAAAAAAAAAAATTGAAAAATTATTGATTTGAAAATAATATGATGCAGTGCTATTCCGTCTGGGTCTCTGTGTTTCATTAAAGCTCAGCTCTGTGTGCGCGCGAGAGAGAGAGAGAGAGAGAGAGAGAAGAGAGAGAGAGAGAGAGAGAGAGGAGAGAGAGAGAGAGAGAGAGAGAGATAGAGAGAGGAGAGAGAGAGAGAGGGATAGAGAGAGAGAGAGAGAGAGAGAGAGAGAGAGCGCACCGGTACCGGAGATCGTTGTTGTTAGCTTCTGGTGCTAGCGAGCTACGCTAACAGATATAAGGAGTTTTTTTAACAACAAAGTGGAGGAGAGTCCTCTCCTGTCAGACTGAGAGGCTCAGTGAGCTAAAGGACTCTCTCAGTGTTATCTCAGAGGGTCTCAAACGGTTTGGTTACCATTAATGTAAACAATTATTTCCGAGGCACACGTTTATATGATCATTATAATTATAAAAAAATAAGAGAATAAATGAAAAACAGCTATGAAATAGTATATGACATTAAAACAAGAATACAGTTTAAAAGGAGAGTGATTTGTAAAATATCCATAAAGAAAAAGTAAATCTGTTTACAGTTCTGTTTCATCTGGGTGTTGAGAGATGAATCCATAGATCTCTTCATGTTGCTCTCAAAGTGCACCAGATTGATGCTTTTAACTTCAATATTTAAAAATAAATCTTCCCAGGGGAGCATGCCCCCGGACCCCCCTATGTGAGGTCCACACACCACCTATAAAATAGCACTTTACCCCTGCTTACACCTATATGCCTCGAGCCTTCATTGTAACTGTCACACTGTCTATGTGCGTGGGGATTGTTGCAGTAGAACATTCCTCTGTAGCGCCCGGGACATTAATGGGAAACCCTAAATGTTTGAGCACCCTCTATGAAACGTCAAGCTACCCCACAGCACCCCCAAAATAAATCTCTGGCGCCGCCACTTGAGTCTGACTATTTGTGTTGGGGGGGCCCGACTTTTTTTTTTCTCCAAAGGGGGGGCCTGACAGAAAAAGTTTGAGAACCACTGCCCTAAAGTAAGGAAAGCGAGGCATCCTTTATCAGGTGCAGCAGCATGGTCGTCTGGAAAACAGAGTTTAGTTCCTGCACAACCTCAGCTGATAGATGGGCTTCATTATCTCTGCCTTCCTCGGGGGAACCGGCTCCAAATGTCCCCCTCCTGATCGTATCAGTCTGCTTTTATCGATCAATAACCACCAGCAGCACACAACGCAACAATTAACTGAATCCTCTACTGCCCTTAATTGCGCTGTTACTCTGAATCGTCGATAGAAATGATTACAATAGTGGGACGCATCCTCAAATTTCTTTCACTAGCGGAATACATTATAGTCAGTAGCAGCGAGGCTTAAACGGCATTAAATAAATGTTTGCTCAGGATCAATTTTAAGACGCTTGAACTGTTTGATCTTCCAATTTGCAGTTAATGTGTTTGACGAGCTGACTGAAACCCTGTCTACGAGGTTTAAGGGAAAGCTGTGTTTTAATTGTCATAATTAAAGAGGAAAGTAGGAGAAAGCAGGCGACAGTGACTCAACGTTCACGATGTGAGGGGATGACATCTGCAGAGGAAACATAGAAGCCCAGTGCCAGCTCCACTCAGCATCAATACTGCATGCTGGAAAGCCAAGCGCTCCAGACCATGAGGCTCACAAGAGGCTAAAATAAGATCCAGCAGCCAGCGAGCTTTACAGCGCACATAAGCTGCTACGTGGGAAAAACAGTTCTGCATTCATCATATTGTGTCTGAGAGGGAAACTGGGTCGGATGGATAATAATAGGGTTTTATAGTCGGCAAACTATTCCCCCGTCTACTAACAAAGGCAACTCTTCCCTTTGTTAATATAGAAGATTTATCAAATAGAAATGATTTGATTGCTGGTTCAATCTTCATTCAAGGATACATCTCTTTCCGCTGACTGCAGAAATAATTCATCTGTTTTGTTGCTGGTAACTACGGTGGCCAGCAGGTTCAAACAGACCGGAACATTCCCATTAGGAGAAACGATGCAAATACAAAACGCTGCAAGAAGCTCAAAACACACTTTTGCGTCACTTTTTAGTGTCCCCTGGTCTCCCAGCTGTGTGCGTCACTCTTTAGTGTCCCCTGGTCTCCCAGCTGTGTGCGTCACTCTTTAGTGTCCCCTGGTCTCCCAGCTGTGTGCGTCACCTTTTAGTGTCCCCTGGTCTCCCAGCTGTGTGCATCACTCTTTAGTGTCCCCTGGTCTCCCAGCTGTGTGCATCACTCTTTAGTGTCCCCTGGTCTCCCAGCTGTGTGCATCACTCTTTAGTGTCCCCTGGTTTCCCAGCTGGTGTGCGTCACTCTTTAGTGTCCCCTGGTCTCCAGCTGTGTGCGTCACTCTTTAGTGTCCCCCTGGTCTCCCAGCTGTGTGCGTCACTCTTTAGTGTCCCCTGGTCTCCCAGCTGTGTGCGTCACTCTTTAGTGTCCCCTGGTCTCCCAGCTGTGTGTGTCACTCTTTAGTGTCCCCTGGTCCTCCCAGCTGTGTTCGTCACTCTTTAGTGTCCCCTGGTCTCCCAGCTGTGTGCGTCACTCTTTAGTGTCCCCTGGTCTCCCAGCTGTGTGCGTCACCTTTAGTGTCCCCTGGTCTCCCGCTGTGTGCGTCACTCTTTAGTGTCCCCTGGTCTCCCAGCTGTGTGCGTCACTCTTTAGTGTCCCCTGGTCTCCCAGCTGTGTGCGTCACTCTTTAGTGTCCCCTGGTCTCCTAGCTGTGTGCGTCACTCTTTATTGTCCCCTGGTCTCCCAGCTGTGTGCGTCACTCTTTAGTGTCCCCTGGTCTCCCAGCTGTGTGCGTCACTCTTTAGTGGTCCCCTGGTTCTCCAGCTGTGTGGCGTCACCTTTTAGTGTCCCCTGGTCTCCCAGCTGTGTGCATCACTCTTTAGTGTCCCCTGGTCTCCCAGCTGTGTGCGTCACCTTTTAGTGTCCCCTGGTCTCCCAGCTGTGTGCGTCACCTTTTAGTGTCCCCTGGTCTCCCAGCTGTGTGCGTCACTCTTTAGTGTCCCCTGGTCTCCCAGCTGTGTGCGTCACTCTTTAGTGTCCCCTGGTCCTCCCAGCTGTGTGCGTCACTCTTTAGTGTCCCCTGGTCTCCCAGCTGTGTGCGTCACTCTTATTGTCCCCTGGTCTCCCAGCTGTGTGCGTCACTCTTTTAGTGTCCCCTGGTCTCCCAGCTGTGTGCGTCACTCTTTCGTGTCCCCTGGTCTCCCAGCTGTGTGCGTCACTCTTTAGTGTCCCCTGGTCTCCAGCTGTGTGGCATCACTCTTTAGTGTTCCCTGGTCTCCCAGCTGTGTGCGTCACTCTTTAGTGTCCCCTGGTCTCCCAGCTGTGTGCGTCACTCTTTAGTGTCCCCTGGTCTCCCAGCTGTGGTGCGTCACTCTTTAGTGTCCCCTGGTCTCCCCGCTGTGTGTGTCACTCTTTAGTGTCCCCTGGTCTCCTAGCTGTGTGCGTCACCTTTTAGTGTCCCCTGGTCTCCCAGCTGTGTGCGTCACTCTTTAGTGTCCCCTGGTCTCCTAGCTGTGTGCGTCACCTTTTAGTGTCCCCTGGTCTCCCAGCTGTGTGCGTCACTCTTTAGTGTCCCCTGGTCTCCCAGCTGTGTGCGTCACTCTTTAGTGTCCCCTGGTCTCCCAGCTGTGCGCGTCACTCTTTAGTGTCCCCTGGTCTCCCAGCTGTGTGCGTCACTCTTTAGTGTCCCCTGGTCTCCCAGCTGTGCGCGTCACTCTTTAGTGTCCCCTGGTCTCCGTTGTGTTTTGAGCTTCTTCAGCGTTTGGTTTCTGTAGCTTTTAGTAAACGCTGCCATGTCTCCTCAAGTTGCTGAATGTTTTCTAAACGCTGCATGTGTTGTCAAGTTGCTGGAGATGTTTCTTCATGTGTACAGGAACATTAGTGTTTTTAGATTCTGAAGCTGCAGCTGTTTTTCTCTTATAGAAAGGCTTTAGGCCGTTGTCAGCCACTATAGGTACCTACATACTGCATAACATGTATTATACATACTTTCTATGCACACATATTAATTCATAATGCACCATGGATTATGCATGCTCACACATGTTCATCAGTACATGAGTCCCACCGACCTGTGCTGCTCTGGATGGTCCTGACGGTGGTGGTGGTGCGCGGGGGGGAGTTGGCGACGCCTCCTTTTCTTCCTCCTCCCTCCTCTTCCTCCTGCGAGCAGCCTTTCTCTATGGCACGGACGTAGCTGTGGCTCCTCATGCGAAAGCAGCCGGACATCGGCAGGTCCAGAGCGTCCACCGCCTGCGACTCCATCTCACTGAACACCGCCTCACACACCGCCTCGATCTGCCCGTTCACCTCCACCTCGCTCACCTGGGGACGAGGACACGCAAAGACACACAGTCCGTGCATGGGGAATATGAATAAAATGCACCCCAGCATTGTGCAAAACAACTAAAAAGGGACAATACATTACAGAAGCACTGATTAAAGCTTCAGTAGGCAGGAGTTTTAAGCACAAACACTTAAAATCTAATTGGGTGATCCACAAGAAGACGGTGTTCCAGAATAATATGAGACTGATTCACCGTATTATAATAAGTTCTGTTATTGGGATATTGATACCTCTCTGCTCACGGAGAAATAACAAATGCATGATTAGTGCATGATGTTTTGAACAAGATCCTCAAAAAACTATTTACCGAGAGAAGTTCTTCTGAATCAAATCTGACAAACAGAAACTAATATTTAGTCTTCTTTGGGTCATCATTTTTCCTTCAAACTGCCTCGTGAAGCTTTATGCCGTATATAAATGCATATAGTGGAAATAAGAGCGTCCAGGGAGTGCAGAGGGGGAGGAATCACGTTATGGGAAGAAGAGTGAAATACTAGTGCTGTTATTAGAGGTGAGAATTAGGAAGTGTCAAAGCTACGACTAGTGGGAGTTGGTATGCGACTCAAAGGAACTACCTGCACCGTGTCTCACGTAAAAATACAGATTGTGTTGTGAGGACATTCGATTCCTTCAAGTTGCCCTTGTCCAAAAACACAGAGCAGCCGAAGGAATGGGATGTTGCTTCGGGGAGTTAAGTGATTGGTTTGGGTGAGTGAAAGTGGAGAGGGGAACAGTGGGAGTATTTACTGCAGAGCTTGGAGTCAGTAAGGTTTGTGGACCTCGATGTTAACAGTCTGTTTTGTGTGTTACGTTCACACGTCAGATATGAGAGTGAGAGAGAGAGAGAGAGAGAGAGAACCTCATTCTTGTTCAGTGGCTCTGCTCCATGCCGGGAGTTGAAGGGCCGTCCCTCGGGTCCTTTATTCAGCAGATGAGGCAGAGTGTTTCCCCGGGGCTTTGGAGAGGAGTTCATATCCTCGTTACCCCGGGTGAAAAGGTAAGCTAAGCTCGCCTGTCACTCCAGATAACTTCTTAGAGTACGAAGCCTGGCTCAAAATCCAAAATGACTAACGTGTTATTTAGCAGAAGAGACCTCCACTGCAACTCTCACTACTTTTAAATCCAGGCTGCTTTTCATCGAACTATTCATATCTCACACTGCACTGTAACTTTTAATCTTTACTTTTAATGACTGATTTTAAATGCCATTTTCTTAATGTCTTTCATTTTTGTAAAGCACTTTGAATTGTGTTGAAAGCAGATATATAAATAAACTTGCCTTGCCTTGTCAAAAAAGGCTAATCATTTGGAAGCCAGGGTGACTGACAGGTGCCTGTGATTTGTCACCATATATCGTTTCTGAAGCTGCAACGGTTTCTCCTCATGAGAACGTGTTTGAGGCGACAGTAGTAACCAATCCAGATTCCACTTATTCACAGATTTCATATTTGGCTTTCATGTTAATTCTTGTTTTCCCGTCTCTTGCATAGCAGATGCAACACTGAGAGAGGCCTCACTGAGTGTGCCGCAGCAGAAGGAGCATGTTGGGGTAAATCCTGTAATTATCTGAATACGGCTGTAATCATCTGCGCTCCAGAAAACAGCACATATACACTAATTAGGAGATTTTGGTTTTGTTCATACTTATTTCAGGCTAAGGATTGGATTCACCCCCCCCCTGCACGACCTCGCTGGACATAACCATGGAGGTACAGGGGCCTCTGGGTGCCACTAACCTGGCTTATGGTGCTCATGGCTCTCATGTAGCTCTCGTTTCTCGAGCGAAATTTAGGCGAGGCCAGCAGCCCTGCCGGGTCCAAGCTGTCCAGACTCCTATTGATGGAAACCTCACTCACCGCCCGCAGGTAGCTGTGACTCCGGATCTGAAGCTTTGGCGAATGCTCCGTGGAAATCCTGCAGAAAGAGAGACAAGAAAATAATGTTAGAGGATATAATCTGCTTATTTGCACGTTGTAATTAGTGCATCTACTGTTTTTGCCATTTTCAACTCAATAATAGGTTTAAATTATGTGTAAATTAGGTCCTTTGACAAAAAAAAACATGTGGTTATGTGCAGGAATGACGTTCTCTCAGCAGGTAAAACTGAGATTGGGGTTATGATTTATACTATTAGCTTTATGAGCAGTAAAACTAGGACAAAAGTGGCACAAATGACAAGAATACAACTTAAAGAGTCCTCTCCTGATGATGTTCAGGTGTATATCAGTATGTAGTGTCTCTACTTTAAAGAGTCCTCTCCTGCTGATGTTCAGGTGTATATCAGTATGTAGTGTCTCTACTTTAAAGAGTCCTCCTCCTGCTGATGTTCAGGTGTATATCAGTATGTAGTGTCTCTACTTTAAAGAGTCCTCTCCTGCTGATGTTCAGGTGTATATCAGTATGTAGTGTCTCTACTTTAAAGAGTCCTCTCCTGCTGATGTTCAGGTGTATATCAGTATGTAGTGTCTCTACTTTAAAGAGTCCTCTCCTGCTGATGTTCAGGTGTATATCAGTATGTAGTGTCTCTACTTTAAAGAGTCCTCTCCTGCTGATGTTCAGGTGTATATCAGTGTGTAGTGTCTCTACTTTAAAGAGTCCTCTCCTGCTGATGTTCAGGTGTATATCAGTATGTAGTGTCTCTACTTTAAAGAGTCCTCTCCTGCTGATGTTCAGGTGTATATCAGTATGTAGTGTCCTCTACTTTAAAGAGTCCTCTCCTGCTGATGTTCAGGTGTATATCAGTATGTAGTAGTGTCTCTACTTTAAAGAGCCTCTCCTGCTGATGTTCAGGTGTATATCAGTATGTAGTGTCTCTACTTTAAAAGTCCTCTCCTGCTGATGTTCAGGTTGTATATCAGTATGTAGTGTCTCTACTTTAAAGAGTCCTCTCCTGCTGAATGTTCAGGTGTATATCAGTATGTAGTGTCTCTACTTTAAAGAGTCCTCTCCTGCTGATGTTCAGAGTGTATATCAGTATGTATGTCTCTACTTTAAAGAAGTCCTCTCCTGCCTGATGTTCAGGTGTATATCAGTATGTAGTGTCTCTACTTTAAAGAGTCCTCTCCTGCTGATGTTCAGGTGGTATATCAGTATGTAGTGTCTCTACTTTAAAGAGTCCTTCCTGCTGATGTTCAGGTGTATATCAGTATGTGTGTCTCTAGCTTTAAAGAGTCCTCTCCTGCTGATGTCAGGTGATATCTCAGTATGTAGTGTCTCTACTTTAAAGAGTCCTCTCCTGCTGATGTTCAGGTGTATATCAGTATGTAGTGTCTCTACTTTAAAGAGTCCTCTCCTGCTGATGTTCAGGTGTATATCAGTATGTAGTGTCTCTACTTTAAAGAGTCCTCTCCTGCTGATGTTCAGGTGTATATCAGTATGTAGTGTCTCTACTTTAAAGAGTCCTCTCCTGATGATGTTCAGGTGTATATCAGTATGTAGTGTCTCTACTTTAAAGAGTCCTCTCCTGATGATGTTCAGGTGTATATCAGTATGTAGGTGTCTCTACTTTAAAGAGTCCTCTCCTGCTGATGTTCAGGTGTATATCAGTATGTAGTGTCTCTACTTAAAGAGTCCCTCTCCTGCGATGTTCAGGTTGTGTATCAGTATGTAGTGTCTCTACTTTAAAGAGTCCTCTCCTGTGATGTTCAGGTGTATATCAGTATGTAGTGTCTATACTTTAAAGAGTCCTCTCCTGCTGATGTTCAGGTTGCATATCAGTATGTAGTGTGTCTCTACTTTAAAGAGTCCCTCTCCTGCTGATGTTCAGGTGTATATCAGTATGTAGTTTCTCTACATGTCTCCATGCTTTAATGTTCAAAAAGCTCTTTATCTTTTCTCATTACCGCCCTTGTGTTGCAGCACCTCTTTTTCACAAATACCCATAAACACACTATAGGAAAGGGAAACAAACCCAAAAAAGCATAATAGGAGCTTTTTTAAAACAGAAATAAGGAGCTCCCACAGAGCAAGGTAGGGGCGGAGAAGTGGAAACAAGAGAGATTACGTGATAAAAAGAGAGTGAGAGAAGGTATTTGTAAAGTACTTGGCAGTGTGTGTGAACCCGAAGATACGGATCAATTGCTCGAGGAGACACCGTTATCTAATCAACAAGCGCAGGAGTGTTGAGAAACAGCAGCAGTAGCTTAGGCAGTCTGTCCTTGAGGCACCTTGTAAGCAAGTTCTCACACACTATAAAGGAAGCATACATGTGTGAGAACAGGGGGGGGGGATTGTGTGTGTGAGGTGTATATATCTAACATCTTCCACATGAAAACACACACACACACACACACACACACACACACACACACACACACAGAAGATGAATAGGTGTCTCATTATCTCTCACCTGCCTCCAATCTGAGTGCTCAGCATGCTATGTAAGTGTGTGTGTGTGTGTGTGTGTGTGTGTGTGTGTGTGTGTGTGTGTGTGTGTGTGTGGGGGTTATGTAACAGTTGGATGCCTGCTAAACAATTCATTAATCAGGGGAAATTAAACCTAAAAAGCTGAATTACTTTCCTCCTAATGAACATCGTGGCCTAGTAAACCGACACCCAGAAAACAAGACAGATTAAAAGCCTGCTCTCAAAATTCAATATCTCTGGGTCTTACTTTCACTAGTCAGTATATTAAAAGTCACACACACACACACACACACACACACACACACACACACACACACACACCACACACCACACACACACACACCACACACACACACACACACACACACACACACACACACACACACACGCACAACTCATAACTTTCTGCCTTCAGGTCAGGACTGCTTTAATTATGTATTCCCGCCCTAAAATAGAGTGTGGTTAGCGCAGCGAGACAAACTAGATTACTCATTCTTGGATGGAAGAATGGAGCGGAGAAAGACAGAGCACTGGAAGGACAGATTGAGATGGGAATAAAGGAAGTGATTTGGGAAGTTTCTAATATTAAAATGCACCCCCTTGTAGTTCTCGAGGCTTTTTATATTGAGCAGAATCTACAGAAAGATTCTGTATCGAAGCTTTCAGGGGTTAATAGTTATTTGTTTTAGCAACCAATTCCTCTATTGTAATATCAGGTTTCCTATCCAAGTGGTCCATTGTAAACACAACATGGATATGTATTACAGGGTTTAGTTGAATTCTCCATTCTGATTGGTCAATTTGGATATTCACAAGGTCTGCTTTTTTGCTTTGGAGGATATAGGGACTAGGTGAAGTCATATCAATCCGCAGAAAGAAGTCCGGTCAATTTAACGTCAACTATGGCAAAAAAAACAACAACAGAAGAATAGAGACAGGAAGTAAACACTAAAGGGAACAGCAGAAGAAGACAGACAGGAAGTAAACATTAAATGGAACAGCAGAAGAAGACAGAGAGGAAGTAAACATTAAATGGAACAGCAGAAGAAGACAGAGAGGAAGTAAACACTAAAGGGAACAGCAGAAGAAGACAGACAGGAAGTAAACACTAAAGGGAACAGCAGAAGAAGACAGAGAGGAAGTAAACACTAAAGGGAACAACAGAAGACAGGAAGTAAACACTAAAGGGAACAACAGAGGAAGACAGACAGGAAGTAAACACTAAAGGGAACAGCAGAAGAAGACAGACAGGAAGTAAACATTAAATGGAACAGCAGAAGAAGACAGACAGGAAGTAAACACTTAAGGGAACATCAAAAGAAGACAGAGAGGAAGTAAACATTAAATGGAACAGCAGAAGAAGACAGAGAGGAAGTAAACACTAAAGGGAACAGTAGAAGAAGACAGACAGGAAGTAAACACTAAAGGGAACAACAGAAGAAGACCGACAGGAAGTAAACACTAAAGGGAACAGCAGAAGAAGACAGAGAGGAAGTAAACACTAAAGGAAACAACAGAAGACAGGAAGTAAACACTAAAGGGAACAACAGAGGAAGACAGACAGGAAGTAAACACTAAAGGGAACAGCAGAAGAAGACAGACAGGAAGTAAACACTAAAGGGGACAGTAGAAGAAGATGGACAGGAAGTAAACACTAAAGGGAACAGCAGAAGAAGACAGACCAGAAGTAAACACTAAAGGGAACAGTAGAAGAAGACAGACAGGAAGGTAAACACTAAAGGGAACAGCAGAAGAAGACAGACAGGAAGTAAACACTAAAGGGAACAACAGAAGAAGACCGACGGGAAGGTAAACACTAAAGGGAACAGCAGAAGAAGACATACAGGAAGTAAACACTAAAGGGAACAGCAGAAGAAGACAGACAGGAAGTAAACACTAAAGGGAACAGCAGAAGAAGACAGAGAGGAAGTAAACACTAAAGGGAACCGCAGAAGAAGATGGACAGGAAGTAAACACTTAAGGGAACAGCAGAAGAAGACAGACAGGAAGTAAACACTAACGGGAACAACAGAAGACAAGAAGTAAACACTAAAGGGAACAGCAGAAGAAGACAGACAGGAAGTAAACACTAACGGGAACAACAGAAGACAGGAAGTAAACACTAAAGGGAACAACAGAAGAAGACAGACAGGAAGTAAACACTAATGGGAACAACAGAAGACAGGAAGTAAACACTAAAGGGAACAGCAGAAGAAGATAGATAGGAAGTAAACACTAAAGGGAACAGTAGAAGAAGACAGACAGGAAGTAAACAGTAAAGGGAACAGCAGAAGAAGACACATTTTCTTCCTCGTGCTCTCTACACTTATAGGTCAACTGAGGAAATGAAAAGGTACATCTGTACATTTGAGCCCTCAGCGATCTCTTTGAATCCGCCACATGCTTCCTGTAGTCTGTGACATATCAAGTGAAGCAGGAATCTACCCGCTCTATTATCTCCATTCACATCTCCTCCTGATTTCCCAGCGGTCTGATTATCGGCAGCAGCAATTACGTCTTTTGTGGGAACTTGAATGGCAGCACTCGCT